ACATATACGTTCTGTGGAACAGAAAACTTGAAGTTATGATCACCAAAATTCTGTTGAAGGTCTTACCAAAACAACAAAGGCAACAGTTATACGGACAGTGATTAAGAGCAGAAAATTTGATGTGCAGTTATAAGCAGCAAAAGCTAACATCATATGACCCTAATCGTTGTTAACTGGTAACTTGCTTGTTAAAATCATTTTCCAACTTTTTTGGTGAGCATTAAATTATACTACTTTATGACCGTATTGCACGTTTCAGTTCTTAGAATCGTTGCTAAAATGTAATGTGAAAATTTTTCCTTATTTCAACAGCTATTTACTTAAAGTAGTTTTTTTTTTTTTCAACCGAATAATCAGTAAAGAAGCTTAAGTATAGACGTAAGTTTAATGACCATAAATTAGTGATAATTAAGCAACTAAGTATTTAGTGCAAAAATAAATTTACATCAATAAAACTTATTGCTGGTACAGTTAAAGTAAAAAACTAGTTGCTGATTTATGTGCCATTGGCTCAAGATTCTTGTAAATTTATTTTCAACGTCATTAGTTGCAGTTGCAAAAATGATTTTGTTCAAAGACTGTTGCCGTCTCCAGATTTTGTTGATAAAATGTAAAAGTAAAAAACAACGTTCTAATCTTAGCTTTTTTTTTGTTTGTTTTTACTGCAAAACCACTGACAACTGCAGAATAGCAAGTCTTGATAAATTACAACACCGAAGCAAAAATATTCAATATTCCACTGGAATCAGCAAAAAGAAGCTATGAGTATTAGAATCTGTTTTCTAAAAAGTTATAAATGTAGTTTTAAGTCAATTCTTGCTTCCCAATCGACAATGCTAATCATCAAACAATAATCTATCCAGAAAAACAGTAAAAAAATACAGTCTTAGGCAAAAACAATATGAAGTTCCAACTATACCGGAAACAGTTACCGGCCGTCATTCAGCTATGTTTTAATGTTTTCATTTAGTTTCTTCAATATATTTAAATTTTAAAGTTTAGTTTTTTCAGCAACAGTTCAACCGATTAGTCGTATTAACCAAAGACTTTACACTGCATCATTCCAACAATTATTTTTTTTTT